AGCGGGCACCCACCGGGTGCGTGCCGAGGCCAGCCATTTTGGAGCTAAGGGCTGCCTATATAAACAGGGCAGTTTGGCTGCTGGACATCAGGCAACAACACTGCCTGGCCGGAGGGCTGCTGAGATCATCTGGAAGTAAGGGAGGAGCTGTAGGGGATGGACAGGAGGCTCCTGGTCCTGGGCATGACCTAAAACTGCACCCTGCCGGGAGTGGGTGGCCTGGTGGGGCTCTCAGTGGTGCGGGAGCCGCCAGGAAATGCCAGGCCAGTTACCACCCTGGTGAAAGCCGGGTCGGGGTGCCTTAACCCCCAGCCCCCACCACCGGGAGGGTAACCCTGTGTTTGTGAAGGGCCCAGAGGGCGGACCTTCGGAGAGAGTGAGGGGCTAGAGACCCGACCCAAACAAAAGAGTACCCTCGACTGGCCCATGCTGGGGCCAGGACCAGGAGGGTCAAACGGGCCGGGGGCCCACCGCGAGGGATGCCCAAGAGCTGGGGGCCTGGGGTTCCGACTGGCCTGGAGGTGGGCCAGGGCTGGTAGCCGAAGGTCCCGGGGGGACCACACCCAAGACGGGAAAATGGTTTCGGGGGGCTAGGTAGCCCGAATGAAGGCGGAGAGGCCGTCTGATTGGAAGGATTATGGAGGGGTCCTGTTAGGATCATTCTGGGGCCCAGCGTGGGGGCCGGCGAGGATGTAAACACCAAGATGCCATCTGCGAGGCTTGGGCTGTGGTGTAGGGGAGGAAAGGAGCCGCAGAGAGCGCCCCCTGGCATCGGGGCACCAAAATGGGCAGCCTCCCGCTTGAGTGACATCAATTAGTGAATCAATTAACACCAAGGTGTGGCGGGCGAGAAGGCGGGCGGTTGACCCAAGAACAGGTGGGCGGGCCACGGAAATCGGCCCTGAGAAGGCCCCCTGTTACACTCCCCTTTCCTCTTTGCCACCCAGCTGAATGGTGGGGCAGCAATTTAAAAGCCAGCACCTGGAAATGAGGTCCTTGAGCCCTGCTACCAGCCACTGGCCTTTAAAATAAGCTGCCTTGCTGCTCAGCTGGGAGATAGGAAGCTGACAAGAGCTGACAACCCCGCCTGTCCTCCCCCCATCTCTTCTTGAAACCAAGGACTACCCAACCCAGGGAAAAGGCAGGGAGTGATAGCTGCTACTCCCCTCACCTTCCAGTCTACGGGACTGGAGGAGTAGTTTCTGCCTTGCCTTCTCAAGAGAGGGATCACCCTGGTCTCCAGAAGACTAGGAGCCTTCCTCCCAGTCCCCAGAATGGGATAAACTGAGGGAAAGTATATAGTATTCCCTAGGAGACTGAACATCTATCTCAGGAACAAGTTAACTTAACCCTGGCTGCTTCCCAGTTATTTTTCTCCTGAAGCAGACATTTTTGCTTTGGGAAAAGAAAAAAACCAAAACAAACTTGACCATCTGTACACTTCAATTTCTGCCAGGAGAATGGCAATTCTGGTAGAAAATGAAAGTCTGTACCTGGCCTTGAGTTCTGCCTATTTGTCCTGAAAATGGATCTACTGGCCCCAGAAAAATCTCACCCAGCTATTATATTATACCTCTAAACTTACCTTCTCTTCCCTGTGTTTAAACAGACCAGGTTTGATATACCTGAGGAAAAGTGTCACAGCTCTCTAATGAAACTGCTTAAAATAACCACCCTATCTCTACCATTACACCATAAAACAAGCACGTTTTTGTTATCTGTTAATCTGTGTTATCCTTAATTGACAAAAAGTGTAAACACTTCATAAACAGGCTCTCAGAACACTCTGACTGCATCATTACCACTCCATCATTAAGAAACCTTATAAAAATTGTAGAAGTTACATATGAGACAGTTAAAAAGACTCTTAACACCCTGCACTAGCTAGAAGGTACAAAAACATTATTTAAGTCAGGGATGACCAATCTATTGTTTGAGAGCCACAAGTGGCACAGGCAGGCTCTGTGTGCAGCAAATCAAACAGGGAGCAGAGGGCAAGGAGCAGAAGCCAGAGCAGTAGAACAAGCAAGGCAAAGGGATCAGAGTGACACTTGATGGGGAAAGGCTAACTTGTGACACACCTGCAAAAAAGTTGGTTCTCTCTTATCTTAAGTAATATATCAACACCCAAGACAGATACACGTACTATTTTAGCCGAGATTTCAAAAGGATTACTGAAGGAAATGCATGTATATTTACTCAGCTGGAGAACCCATTATTAAGAGCAGGGATAGACAACCTGTGACATGTCCCAAAAGTGGCACGGGCCATCTCTGTGTGGGGCACATGACAGATCAGGGAGGGGCCAGGCAGCACAGTGGCAAATAGGGTAGGGAGCAAAAAGCAGAGCAGCAGATCACTCAGGAAGTACAGGGCAGGACTGCAGATTGGGTAGGGGAAGGAGACTGGAGTGACACTCAGGGCTTAATTTGAGGCACAACTGGCAAAAATGCTCGCTCCCACTGATTTAGACTGTACTGTACAAGGATTTTCAAATTCTCTGCTCTTTCACCTAGAAAGGGATTATGAAAACGTAAATCAAGTTAGGTGACTTTGGACATCATTAAGTTGGTATGAAAATACACCATACCTTCAACAGGAATCATTTTAACAGAAACTGGAATTTCCCACTGTTCCTTGTAGTTCAGTCCATGATTATTCAGCAAAGTAAACAATGATCGACTACTTAAAACTACTTGAGGATGATATTTCAAAGCAAGTTTTTCTGCATTAGAATCTAAACTAATATCCTAAAAAGAAAGAAGTGAACAAATGAAATTAAGAATTACCACATACTTACTACAATATTCAGACATAACATCAGGGTGGGATTTAAAAAGAAAAGTTAGGTGACACCCTGTATGTATTTTCCAAAACCTAAACACACATCTTGTAGAACAAAAGTTCTCAGTTATGTCTTTTATTAGTTTTTCTTTCTAGGAATTTCTGTGAATAAAAAAGGATAAACCCAAGCACATATTCTATCTATATAAAAGACTTCAATTACTACTTTGGCCCAGATGCATCTCAAATAAAAGCACATAAGACAATATGAAATTCATTTCAATTAAAGGAGCATAGCTTCTTCTTGATCATTGGAATACTAGAAAATGTTCTTATACCTATGACTTAAGTGGATGTCTTGCAGATCTATTAATAGCACTAAAAACAGTTCCCAAATGAAAAATCCTAAGGTAAAGTTAGAACTGCAATGGGTGGTTTAAAAGCAGAAATATTAAACTAAATATTTTTTAAAAAATTGCTACTAGTCCATGACATGCAGCATTAAAAAAATTGTAAGGAATTATGCTGGGGGGGGGTGTCTCCATGAACCTTAAGAACCTTTGTGATCGTCTTTGAGGGGGTTGTCTTTCCACATGTTACATGGGGAAAAAACAACTCTTCTTAGAATCGAGTAAACATAGTAAAAAATGTCAACAGTCTGTGAATGGAACTATTGTTCCATATCTCTATGTTTATGGATGAAAGCTAACAACAACTTCAAATATCTGTTCAATGAATACATTAGAAAGCATCCTAAGAAATTCTGTAACCTAGAAATTTAATTCAAGTTCTCTGGCAAACAAGTTCTTACCAAGTTAATAAAAATCTCCTCAAAGTGGGAAAAAAAAAGTATGGCTGTCAATTAATTGCAGTTAATGCACACGATTAACGCATTAATCAGTTCTTGAGTTACGTTTTTTTAATGCGTTAATCGCGCATGTGGTTTTGGAGCCCACACCTGGGCTTTGCTCTGCTGCCTCCGGGTTGCCCAGTGGTGGCAGCACAGAGGACAACAGGGCAGCCTGGGTATGGGCTCCGGGTGGCTGCAGCTGGGCTGGGGGAGGGGAGGAAGCCCCTATGGCGAGGGAGGGAGTGGGGCAGGAGCAGGTGCTGGGGTGAATGGGACCCCACAGCAGGTCATGGGATGGAGCCGCAGGAAGCTCATACAGAGGCGCCAGGGGGAGGGGGGGCATGCCTCCCCCCTCCCGTGTGCAGCCCTGGAGGGCACGTGCCCCCAAGATTTGTGCATGGGGCGGAGGCAGGCTGCCTGCTGCAGGCTGGAGCTTTGCGCCCTGCTGCCTTTCCCTCGGAAGCTGCACACTGGCCGCACTGCGTGTTCCCTGCGTGCCTGGCAGAGGGAGGCATAAAATAGTGTCACGTGGCTCCCAGGGCAAAAGCAGGAGGGTGCAGATCCCCAGCCTGCCTTTGCCCCATGCACAAATCTGGCGGGCACATGTCCCCCATGCCTTCCCTAAGGGTATGCACAGTGGTAGTGAGCCACCCCTCTCCCCTCCCTGGACTCCTGGACGAGCTGCCTGCAGCTCCATCCCATGATCTGTCCCAAACCTGGGTCCCATTCACCCCGGCACCTACCCCTGCCCCTCACCATGGGGGGCCTCTATACGCGCCCCCAACCCCTTCCCCTCTCCAGACTTACCATCATAGCACTGTCTGCATATGCGTGTGTCCACTGCTCACTCCCAAGCCACAGCCCCCCCAGCCCTGCTGCTACTGCCCCTCACTCCTGACCCACAGTACCCCACATCCCACCAGGGTGTGTGGGGACCCTTTATCCCCAGGCTGCAACCCGCCCCCCCCCATAGTCCTCCCAACACCTCTTCCATACAAAGTATGTGCATAATTTTCAGTTTATAGCCATGCAATTGTGATTAATTGTGACTATTTTTTTTAATCGTGCAACTAATTGCAATAAAATTTCTAATAGTTTGACAGCCCTAAAAAAAGGTCTCTCGTTTTCCTTTGTGTAGTCTCTCTCACACACACACACACACACACACACACACACACACACACACGTATGCTTGTGTATGTGTGAAAGAAAGACTACAAGTCTGGGTGTACAAGTATAAAATGACTGGTTTTGTTTAGTATGCATTAGCCAAGTATGAAATTGCAAAGGTAAATTTTTAAAACAGAAATTTTCAAAGACATTTGCCTATATTTTCATTTATGGGTAAACATGCATTTCACCACTTTTATTAAGGAACTTGCTCAAAGAAGTATTTAAAAATAAGCACACCAAAAGAACTGTAAAGTATACTGCAACCAACGGCTCTATCTAAATTCACTAGAAATTACAGATGGCTGACTTGTCAAATTCTCACCTTCTTACCTAATGTACAGTGAAATGAATGGAAGACATCCATTGACCTCATCAGGCACTTCATCAAGCCTATATACTACATTGTTCTCCCAACATTAAAGACAGACAAGAATAATATATCTATATTTTCTTAAATATATGTTTATGATTAAAAAATAGATTACTCACATTGTGTATCACTGAAGCTCTCTGTTCTGGAGTCAGGATAGATGCTATAGTTTTATAATCTTTCTGTAGCTGTGCAGGCATGACAGGAAAGCGTACTTTAGCAAATTGAGCCTTTCCCTTGAATAAAAAATAAACAAACCCGACTTTATCAGGTCTTTATAATGGCGTCACTGATGAAATATTAGCATTTTAGAATGAAAATATTATGGTCTACAGAAATACCTTATTAATATATGACCATATTTTTAAAACTATAAATATAAAATAGTTACTTTCTAATTTCCAGGATAATTCAGTTAATTAAACCCAAGCAACATGTTTCTAAGTAGTAACCTGTAGTCTAAGCATGGAATAACAGTCACCATTATCTTAGCAAAATAATGAAATACATCTTAAATTGTTTTTATCTAAACAAGTATACATATTTATAGAACATTACCAATACAAGAAGACATTTTTCCAATTTAAAGCTCAGCTCTGTGCTAAATTTGCCTCCCATGATACTGGTGATCTCTTGGAGCATGTAAAACTCAGGGTACCTCTTCACATGTCCAATACATGCACTCAATAGTTGCTAGAGAAAAGAAAAATAAAAGCATTAAGCAGCCCAACTACCAGTATGTTTCTTGACAGTTTCACAAAAATTAAAATATATTTTGAACACAAAGCAGTTACGTTTGCTCATATTTTCACTTATGGAAAAACATTTATTTCACCCATTTCTATTAAGGGCTTTGTTCAAGGTAACTTCTTATTCTTTTTAGTAATTCAGCTACACAAACTGCTGTATAATACAAAAAGAAAAATGGAGGCCAAGAGGAAGTTTTATTCCTGTTAGTTTTTAAAGCACTGTTTTTTTTAAGGGAGGTCAACTTTCATGACAGAGCCAGACCAACAGAAAACTCAGACTCAAAAGACAAAAGGCCTAGAGTCTATTCATCTATTGTTGGCTTGCTGAGCATGCTATATAAGGTAAAAGGTCCAGATTTTTAGAGACTGGCATTACAGGTATAAATGCCACAATACAGCGTATTTTCTTGCAAACAACACACACCTTTTTTTCCAAAAAAATCAGCTGCTGGGAAGTGGGGTGCATGTTTTAAGTGACTCAGTATAGTAGCAGCAACTTCTGCAGAAGGAAGCTCTGCTCAGGGAAAAAGAATGTAACCCTGCACTTACCACAGGAAGCAAGTGTGGCTCCCTAGCTGCTGGCTGTGATCAGTAGAAGGCTTTCCCTTTAGGCAGAGGCTGAAGCTGCAGAAGCTGTGACTGGCTTGGTTCTGCTGTATTTTCTAAAGCAGAGCCAAGCCCCAGGCTGAGTGGCCCTCAGTTGACTCCACAGGTGCTGCTGCTGGTTGCCCATTCAGCTCAGCTTGAGAACAGGAAAGTGGCTGGGCCACTTGGCTCAGCCAGCAGCACACCCAGCTTTGCTCCCACTTACTGCAGCTGTCTGTGCTTTCCCTATGAAAATACTAATACTTTCAGTATTTTCAAGGAAAAATCCTTTTTTTTCCCATTTTGTGTTTAAAAAACAAGGCATGCTTCATGAAAAAAAAATACAGTAACTATTTGGAAGTCTAAGTATTTGGTAATGCCCATAAATCAGGTACACAACATTTGCGGCTGCAAAAAAAGCACATTGAGGCTGGGTTTAAATCTTTCAGGTCCTCAGTTTCTTCAATGGTAAAATGTACGAAGCTACAACATATTACAAGGCCACTAGGTTCTGTAAAGACTCAGGTTCTTATAAAAAGTAAAGGAACATGATTTTTTGAATGAATGGGGGTGTGTGCACATAAAAAACACTGCTGTTGCTATAAGCAACCAGTAAAGCCAGTGTCACCACAAAAAAAATCAAATTCGAATGAATTATATTCTAAGACGTTTGAAGAAGTAATTGGAAAGTATTAAGTATTTTGTAGTTCTTAAGCAGACAGAATAATTAAAACAGCAGTGTAGTTTTCAGATTCAGAAATGTATCAAGGGAGGGTACAAAAAAATTAAAACATCTGTTAGGATCATGAAAATGATACTAGTAACATTGGCACAATTTAAAAACATTTGTGTGTGAGATGAAAATTATTAAGAGCAATAAATACTGATTGATTTAAGGAAAGATAGGCCAAATCAGTTTCAGGTGAATTAACATAGTTACATTATTTATTGGTAGAATAGATAAAAGAATGTATATATTGAAATAAATCTGCAGTCCTTAAAAATCCTTCAGTAGTTCACTACATTATGGATTAGTTGGGTCTGTAAAACAAAGTATTGTATTTAAATTTACAGAGAAAGCAATAATTACTTGAGAAATGAAACTGGAGATCTTGATAAACCATTTGCAGTGAAAAGACTTCAAATTATTATTTGTGTTGGGGGAACATCTTGGCAACCAAACTAACAAGCAACTCACCTTGCTAGGCATTCTAAATTAAATAACAAAAAAAGGACTACATGTATGATTAGTGTGGGGTGGGGGTTGTTTTTCTTCTGTGTAAAATTACTTTGAGTTTATAAATTTCAAAAGCACCTATGTTCTTATGACCCTGTTCCTGGGGTTCTACACAGGCAGACGCAGGAACAGACAACATACCTCGTACAACCATTCAGTTTCCTGGAACAGTCGCTGCTCTCCCAGGAAAAACCATGAGTGTACAAACATTCAGGCTTTTTCTTCCAGAGTAAAAATGGCTGCTCCAAAAGAAAAATAACCTGGGTACAACCAAGGCTAAATCAATCCTAAGAAGTTTTCTTCTGGGACAGAGAATGTCTGCGTATGCTGTGGCTTCTCATAAGGCAGCCTAGTCCTCCAGGATCCCCATTCTTGCTCTGGGAGAGAATGCATTTCTCACTGATCTCTGCTATTCAAGCAAGGAGCAACACAAGCCCCCATCACAATCCCCACATTGTGCTACAGGGAAACAGGCTGAGCATGGGCAATGTGGAGCAGCCAATCAGGGCAGCCCTATGCACCGCTGCCATGTGTTGCCAGGCAGATTAATGGAGCCTGAAGAGCTGAGATGTACACACAGGCCTCCTGCATGGATGCACAAATACTTCCACCCTCATTTTCAAAGTGCTTAAAATTAGATCCGGCATGTGACCTGTTGTTTTGAAAATCCAAGTCACATATAACTACGGTCTTTAAAGACTGCTGGCCAGGGCAGGTAAAAAATCAATGATTGAAAAAAAATATACACATTACACACACACACACGATTTTTTTTTATTTTTATTTTTATTTATTTATTTTTTTTACTTAATTGTATTTTTTTGTGAAGATGCTTCAAAAAAAAAAAAAAAAAGATAATTCTAATTTACGATGTTAAAGTTCAAAGATATTATCATGGAATAGGGATTATAACTTCTAATTATATACTATTTGAGACAATATATTCATGTAACCTTTTTAGAAGTTTTATAAATAATGTACAACAGGCCCTGGACTATATTAAGGGCCCAATCTTATGGGGTTCCCAGAGACTCCTCTCTATATTACTAAAGATTAAAGAAAACCACTGTACCTAGTGGGACTTCATGTTCAATCTAGAGGTTCCCATTAAGCATCTCTAAGATGCTCAGTTTCAGTTCTCAAACTGTGGATTTGTGTCTCCAGAGAGCACAAGCAGACAAGGTTCTTTGGGTAGATGTGACATCTTATTAGACCAACTAAATAGTTGGAAAAATTGTTCTTTGCAAACTTTTCAGGGACAAATGCCCTTCTTCAGGCATAGGGAGAGTTTGTCGTCTCCAGAGACAGCATACTTGTTAACAGAAGTCGGAGATGAGAGATAACAGACCCGATTACCCACCCATCAGCCCTACTGTCTCTCTGCAAGCTTGTGTATGTGCGGGCCGGGTGCGAGCCGGGCCCTTTTTTGTGCTCTGCGCGGGCTGTGGCCAGCAGCCTGGGCACACAGGGTCGGAGAGAACGGGCAACACGCTAGAATTAGGCACGGACTCGTAATGGTAGATTTAAAGATTGTTTACTTACACCGAAGATGGTTGCGGTGCAGGCTGGAAAACTTGCTTGAGTTGCAGTTACAAACAAAACAACACGAACAATCACGTGGAGTTTGCTAGGCTCCACGGAAACAGAGCTCCGGATGCCCTGGACAAGCGCGCCACCAAAATAGAAACCTCGTAGATACGTCTTAAAAATCGAAGACAGAAAGAGGTGGGCGATGGATCAGGTCGCCAAACTCCTCTGAATCTCACACAGGGTTTCTATTACCCTGCCGTGTACCCAGAGTCCCCACGAGATGGATGTGGAGTCCTCTTCGGCTTGGGCGGAAACCGCTCAAGCCTCTTATACGGCTAGCAGGCCAATCGTTAGCCGCCACGTGGGAATAATTTAGAACTAGCCAATAGCGGAGAACAAATTTGCATGCCGGTGGCGGGAAATCCTTTGCACTGTGCATTTCTCTTGCAACTTGAGCAATGCACCCTGTCAAGGAAGCTACAAATTGGCGGGAAATTCTCCCTTGCACCGGGGTTCTCCTTTGTAGCAGAAAACTCCACCGTGCAACGAAGCTGCAATTTAGCGGGAATAATTCTAGTGCCGAAGCACACACAAAATCATACCTTTGGGTTATGACAGTGTACAGTCAAGCCCATACTTTTCTCTAAAAGTGTAGGTTCAAGAAGTTAAATGAATAAAGGATATCAAACAACAAGAACACCCTTTTTTTAGAAAATACTTATTAAAATCGAGGCTTCCCAACCAAAGATTTAAAATCAATTTGATTTAAATCAAATCCACCCTGCTGTTGGCTGTTATTTATAACATCTGACATGCTTTTCTTGTAGAATGAGTGCAAAAAAGGGGCAATCTTTCAGAAAACTTCTGACATTCTGAATGCCAAAAAACTTACATTTCTGTAGACTAACCATGCTAGTACTCTAACAATCATTGTTCTCGTGGTATATGAAGGTATAAGAAGTGATCAAAATATAACAATTCTCATACCACTTTATTAACTACATATTTAGAATTATCATAAAAAAATTGGAGTTTCTGCTGAATTAGTTAACTGGTTTTCAGTAGTAAACAACTGACAGTTATGGACTACGAAACTTGTCATTCATTCCTTTGAGATGATACTTATTTTATACTGGCTTCAGATGCAGACTGAAAAGATAAAAACTGGGTGGGGGGATACCCTGTGGACTCAACATTTCCTTTCACATTAACTCAGGATACTAAGACACACTGAACTCATTTCTGAGTTATACATTCAAGGCTCTTAGCAATTTCATTACAAAATGCATTCTTTCATTCATTGTCCACAATTTCTGCTTCAAAGACGTTTGGAAATGCATTATTTTCTTAAATATAAATCACAGACTAAAATACTTGGGAGCTTTCAGGATTAAAGGAGAGTAGAAATTTGTTTGGAAACTAGATGCAAAACACTAGTGACAACATATAGCATGAAACTCATGGGCGATTGGTCCCACCTTACTCGGGGGGTGGGCATGTGCCCCCCCTAGCAGCCAGTCAGCAACCGGGAGGTGGAGGTGGGGGTAGTCCCATGCGGCTGATCTCGCTGATGGGGTGGGATCTCACTCACTGGCTGCTGGAAGTAGCTGCAGCACTCGCACTCCCTGGCCAGCTCTCACAGGCGGAGCACCGGTGCTCCCACCGGCCCCATTGCCTGCCACCTAACCAGAGAGCGTGGCCTGTCAGGGGGTGCATGCCCGTGCACCACCTATGCATTGCCACAGATGAGACTAATCCCAATTGTTAACATTATCACTAGAAACTTGTTCAGCTATCTCCTCTTTCAAATGCTGAAAAATGTGCCTTAAGTATTACTAAAACAAAGAATAAGAAAATGTTAAGGTGAAATAAGATCAGACTTCAATTATCATCATAGCGAAAACTTAGTCCACAAATAACTATCTGTGAATTCAGAGGTGTTCTGCTCTGTATAAATCAGTCACATTTATTACTTGAATGAGTTTAGTTTCAAATGCGTACACACAAAACATAATTACTAGAAGCCCTACCAGGAAAATTATATACATTAACACAGGCCCTCAAAAAACATTTTCAATTTGAATTTCTCTTCTCTATGGTAAAAAAAAAATCTAATTAAAATTAATATTTACTTTTCTTACCACACTTCCTGCAATCTTACTACAGTTTGAGTGCAGAACTAAGAGCTGAATTTCTGCCTCGCAATTCATATTCTTGATTCAGCATGAAAAGTCATAGATTCATAGATGTTAGGGTCGGAAGGCACGTCAATAGATCATCGAGTCCGACCCCCTGCATAGGCAGGGAAGAGGGCTGGGGCTAGATGACCCCAGCTAGATGCTTAT